CCTGGAGTCCCTGGATCGAGTCCCGCATCGGGCTCCCTGCTCGGCGGGGAGTCTGCTTCTCCCTCTGACCCTCCCCCCTCTCAGGCTCTCTCTCTTTCTCTCTCTCTCAAATAAATAAATAAAATCTTTAAAAAAAATAAATAAATAAAGGATGGCCCTACACGGAATGCAGAGCTCGGGTCCTGCCTGGGGGAGCCGGAGGCAAGTGGGCCCTTTCACAAAGCGCCCGGCAGAGAAAGTCTGCAGGCCCAGCACAAGGGATCTTCGGCCCTGGTCCCAGGAGGGTCTGCAGAGGCCACATGTGAGTTCCATTCCGGGAGAGAGAAATGGGACAAACGGGGCAGTGACTTATTTCCCCGGTTCCACGGAGAGGCCGAGGCCTCCCTGGCTTCAGTGAGGCAGGAGGGGCTCCGGGATCAGGTGGTGTGGCCAGGGAGCCGGTCGAGCTCCTCCTAAGCGCAGGGTGGCTGTGAGTCCGTAAACGAGGGGCAGGCCTGTTCTCCCCACATCCAGTGAGCACCTGACTTTCTGGGTATACGGGAACCAGTGACTAACAGTGGGGTTGCATACCTGAATAGAGCACTCCTGAAGTAGGGGGAGGTGAAAGAGGCTGTGATCAGGAATCTGAGGCCAGTGAGGGGGCGCTGCCCAAGGTCGTGTTCAAGGTCACTGGCTGGGGAGTGGCAAGGTGGCCTCACTCCGGGTCTTACGCTCTCCGCCCCGCCCTTGGGCCAGCTCCTCACCGCCCTAAGGCTCTGTGGAGAGCTCTGTGGGCGGGACACAGCCCCTGCGCTACGGCTACGCACGGGACACCTTGGCAGAGGTGGAGACAGCAGAAACACTGCTGAGTCCAGCCGGCGGCAGAGACGGCAACTGGCATGCAGGTGGTGCCGGCTTCTCATGACGAGAACGTCACTCTGCTTCCCCAGGGGAGCTGGGAGAGGGGGCGCCCCAGAGAAACGCGTCGCACCCCGCATTCCTTCTGGTCGGAGCCAAGACGGATGCGCCCCCTCCACCCTTACCTCTAACTTCTCAGAGACGTATTCACACTCTGACACGAGCTGAGGTATGATTTCACTTTGTTTGCGGAGGTCTTTCAACTCCTAAGGGGACAGAAGTTTGAAAAAGGATGGGAAAGGCAGGTAAAACACCTCCTTGAAAGCCCACGATCTGTGTGCACATTAGCGGAAGCAGCTCCTGACGTCCTCGATAATAACAAAGACGGTGGAGTTAATACTCAGCACACAGGCAATCCTGTTACGTGCATTATCGTAGCCGGACGTCCGCACACCGCCACAAAGAGTGGATTCTTAGCATCCCCATCTTCTAGATAGGGAAACGGAGGCTGGGAGGTTTGGCGCCTTGCCCACGGTCTCCAGCATCTGTGCGCTTAGTGGTCCTGCCCCCCGCCCCCCAAAAAAACAAACGCCCGCGCGGCGGGGGCTCTCGCTGCGTTAGCCAGACAGCACAGCTCTGCCTCTGACGGCGGCTCACCTATAAACGTTCCCGACTGTTTCCTCAACACGCGGCTCCCCCTCGGGCCCGAGCCTCGGTGAAGCTCTCGGCTGGCCCCCGGGGCTGACGTCCAGGCAGCTGCCCCCCAGGGCCGGTCACGTCCCCCCACCCCCAACACCTGCCGTGTCCTGGGTGCACAGCGCCCACAGGCGCCTCTACTCACCGTCTCCTTCTCCCGCAGTTCCGACTCCAGCTCCTCGATTCTCCTCTTGAGCTGCGTGTTCCTCTCCTTCTCTCTGGTTATCTCGCCGCACTGCTCCTCCAGCTCGTCAATCTGTAACAAACACCGCAGGCTGGAGCAGGGAGGCTCGTTTACTTGGGTCACGGAGCAAAAGATCACCGCGGCCGTTGAGGCTGTCTTACGATGAACCGTGTACGAACCCACTTACACGCTGTTCCTGTGCTTGCCAACAGACCCCGTGTGGCTCCCCACAGGGCTGTCCGCCCTGCCCTGCGTGCCTGAGACGCCCTGCCTAATGCCGGCAGGGCCACGGGAGTCACGAAACCCGGCCACAGGACCCGCCGGGCGTCCGGTTTGCTCTCACCGCCCCGGGCCAGGAACAGCAGGTTTGCTTTAAAGGATTCGTCCCGAGTAGGGGCCAGATGTCCCACGAATCTATCTGCTTCTCCCCATAATGATTTTTTACACCATTTGATCGTGTCCTGAATTATTCTATTTCATCTCAAAGGTTTAAGACAGCAGGGAAGAGAATCAATTAACGCTGTGGGACAGTGGCCCCCAAATGAGATGCAATGACATTTCAAACATTTTAAACCAGGGTGACCTTTCCTTACTGACGCACACCGGAAGGGCCTGGCCTGTGAGCGAGCCTCCTCTGGGAGAACTGAGAGGGGCAGACTGGACCGGCAAGTCTCCAGAGCGCATTCTTCTCCCCTTCCCTGGCCTGACCCCTCAGACGGGGTTCAAAGGCCTCACAGCCTTGGCCTGGCCGTCCGACGCCGAGTGCTTCCCCGCGGCCAGAGAGCATGATGGAAGGGAGCCAACGGTAACACAAAGCACCACGCTGATGGGGTCCCACAAGCAGGCGGCAGCCCTCGAGGGGAAGGGCGCCGGGCAGTCAGGATGACGACACTTTCAGAGGCGGCTGCACGCCAGCCCCCGCAGTCTGAACCCCCAGCCCCAGGAGCCACCGGGGACCTCCACCAACTTCCACCTGGTGCCCTAGAAATCAAGTTCCCAGTGCTTCCCGTCGAGGGAGCAAACTCTAAGGGGTGACCTTCCTCTCCTCCCCCCGTTACACTCGCGCGAAGGGCGAGAGCCAGCTCTCTGCTTGGGAAGAGAAGAATGGGCAATCAGGGCCGCGGGCAGACAGACCGGCCAGGCCCGGGAGGGAACGCACGCAGTCCAGCACCTGGCCTGGTGCCCTCACGGTCAGCATTGAGGCACTGACATGAAAAAATGACACGAGGCAGTTTTATGTGCCATCTGTAGCAAAGTGAGATGGGCAAGCAGGGAAGCGGCCTCTGGTGGCTCCATTCAGGCCGGTGGGCAGGTTACAAACGGGGGGGCAGGGGGGTGAAGACCCGTCTCAGGGTGATGTGTCCCCCTGAAATCCCACACTTACATGGCAGCCGCTGTCCACGGCCTGCCCGATAAATGGGCTGAGCATCAAAACACGGCCACACGGAGACCCCTGGGGTCTCAACTGGGGATTTTCTGGCCGCCCCACAACTACCTCATCGACTCAGCCCCACCACGAAGAGCGTGAGCGACTAATTACAGGGAAGGCTGCAGACGATCGGAGGCATGCTCGGATCACTCAGCTCACACTTCAGGCGCCATATTCCTTTGCCCACTTCCCAGTCCACATTCTTAGTCACAGTGATCTGCACGGAAGTAGGGTTGCTGAGTGAACGCTCCTTGCAGTTTCCCGAATCTATTTTCTTCGTTCACCCTCTGGATCCCTTTTCTCTACCGAAGATCAACGCACCGCAGAACATGCCAAGGGAGGGCCGTCCCCAGCTAGCATCAGAGGGACAAGGCTGGAGTCTCCCGTGGGTTCGTCTTCTCCTTTGCAACAGCAGCAGTGAAACCTGGCTCACTCCCTCGTGTTCCTCCTCGGGAAAGCGGGGGGATGGGGGGGTTCCAAGGGGAGCGACAGCGAGTCTTCCTGCCGCCACAGCGGGGGCGGGGGGGGGGCGGCGAGTGAGGGCGGCGGGGAGGGAGAAGCGGAACGGGGACCCCCATCCCCGGGGCGCCCCGGCACCCACCTTGTTCCGGAGCCGGTCGTTCTCGTCGCGGCAGATGGAGAACTGCTGCTTCCACTGCTCCACGCTGGCGGCCGACTCCTGCAGCGCTGTGGTCAGCCGGGCGTTGCTCTCCCGCAGGGTCTGCAGCTCCATCTCCCATTTCTTCACGTTGGCGGCACTGCGGGCGGGCCCCGGTGGTGACCCGGCCGCCGGGTGCCATCCACCCCGCTCTACCCCACCTGCCACCCCCCTCCTGCCTCTGGGGGCCACACCCTGGCCCCCCGGCGGGCCGGCCAGGAGGATCAGGTGCCAGGAAGGGCTGGCGCCTCTCTACTGCCAACAGGTCACCTTGCCAGGCTATCGCTTTAGGAAAGAACAAAACTCTTGGAGAAGGAGGCGCCGAAGCTAAGAAGGAAGCCCCGGGGTGTGGGGAGGACCCCCTCACTCCACTCCCTACTGAGCCCCTGCCCCAGAACCCTCTGTCCCGTCCCTTCCTCAAGCGAGCCCCAAAGCCACAGGCTCTGAAGCGGGTCTCCGAGAGTCTCACGAGTCCCCGACACCCCAGGACCCCGGGTGTGACAGGCAGCCCAGCTCCAGATGATAACCTGCACCCCCTCCAAGCCTGCTGGGGAATCCAGAGCCGATGACCAGAGGGCAGAGGGGACAGTGATAGCGTGTGTCCCCCTCAGGGGCGGGGGAGGACCACAGGTCTGCAGGACACCTCCACGGGACCAAAACAACCTCCTGTTTGTCTTTCATCCAACGCGCTCCACTAGGAAGTAGTTTCAAGAAACCAACTGCAATCAGGCTCCCCTCAGGGGCTGTTGGCTTTCCTGTTCCTTCTGTCTCCTGGCTTTGCAGCCCACCCGAGTGTGGAGCTGCAGGTGGCCCGAGGCCAGAGCTGCTCAGGACGCACAGGACCCACGGGACACGCGGGGCGTGCCCTGCTCAAAGTGTCCGGCTTCTAATCAACCCTGCTGGCTGAAGTCACTTCTGTCTCGAAAGGCCTTTTTGGGGGCTGGGTGGGGGGTAAGTAAATAGGACTGTATCTCAATAATCTGGTTATCTTCCATCCCACAGCTTCAAGGACGTAGGGACGTGACTAGAAATTCAAGCTTTCAGTTTCAAGCACCACAGGCAAAAAACAAAAAAAAAAGTAAAATGAAATCTGATTAATTTCAGAGTTGATGATTGAGAATTTAAGCTGATTTAGGGAAATGGCTTCACACCCATTCCTATAATGCTCTTGTTCATTAAGCTGGGATTTAAAAACCTTTGTTTTTAGGGGTGAAACGTTTTCATCCAAGAAGTATCTTGTGTCTTAAACAACAAAAGAGTGAAGAGCAGGCAGGACGGTGGAGAAATTGACTAGCCATGTGACCTCAGGCAAGGACTCACTTTACCCCTGGGACTCAGTTTCCTCATCTGTAAAATGGAGATATTAGTATGATCCAGCTTTTCAATGGTTCTAGTCTGGGGAGAGCAGCTTCTCAGCCACAGAAGGGCTGGGAGAAGCTGGCCAAGCCCCTGCCCGGGGCGGGGACAGGATGATTCCCAAGGACCACAGCTCTGAGCGTGCTCATGGGGCCAGCCCAGCCGTCAGGAAATGGGCCACATTCTCAAGGTAGGAAAACTGTAAGCGCGGCCTGTGTAGTCATTAAAAATTAAAATCGTGTTATGTATCATATGATCTCACTGATATGAGGAGTTCTTAATATCAGGAAACAAACTGAGGGTTGCTGGAGTGG